GTGGTGTTGAATGCAAGTGAGCTTCTTGTTTATATCCAGATCATCTGGCATTATTTCCAGACTGATCTGTACTATCACATATACACACACAGAGAGAGAAAGAAGTACATGTATTAGCTCTTATTATGGTGGATTAAATTCTGTACTTCAAAGTTACATGAACAGATTGAAAAGATGGCAACAGAAAATCCTCTGGCCTGTAATACTGTGTTTATATGAGTTCCATAGTTCATCCTTGAATGCGTTTGGATTTAATTAATAGACTTCTACTGAGTTACTGTAGAAACATGTTGCTTAAGTGTCATGTTTTATAAAAGTGTGAATGTCCGTTCAAATCTGCACTGTGTAGGCCTTGTTTTCTTTGTTGGTAAAAACGTTGTGTGTTTTTGTTAAAAAAAATCAGTGTGCTTGCTTTTTTTTATCAGACTAAAAAGCTACTTAATTTCTAAACAGAACCTGGCTGCTTATACATGTTACAATATAATTGAGATGGCACTGAAGTAAATTCCTGACTTACCTATTGCATTCTAGGCATCTCTTAAGATCTCCCTATCTCATTCTAGGCATCACTAGAAAATGCAAGCTATCAAACTTCTTGGACTCCATATTCTATTGTAACTGCTTTCCATATTTCCGGCATTGTTTTTGCATTGCATGACATCTGTGGTTCACATTTTTCCTTATTGAATAATACCTGAAAGGAAATAATAGATGTTATATGTACCTCAATTTTCACATTATTTTATATGTTTTACAGAGATAATGACAGTAAGGCCAAGGGTGCTGGTTTTGGAACAGTTTGTACAGTTCCAAGAGTCATTTAGAGTAATTGAAGGATTTTCTTCCCCGGATTTCCTTTTATAATACAACTTTTTCTTAAATATCTTTGCTACTAGCGATATTTACTTTTATTTTTACATTTTGTCTGAAGGAGCTCAGTTGAGTATATAATTCATGAAATTCATCTGTACACTTAGAAATATGGTTGTAGGTGGCATCAGAAATTGTTTCTCTTTCACAATCATTTCTCATTTCTGCCATAATACACTGTAGCAACAGGTACACATTTGTTATTCTCTTTGTTTCTCTGCTTCAGCAAGTTTTGACAAATGGTATTTGAATGCCTACTTTTGATGAAAAATCGTGTTCTGTGTTAGTTTTGATGTCCCTAAAAAGCATTAGTTGTAATTGTTTCAAATACTGAAAATGGAAGATTAACTTTTTCTTTTTTCTAGCATTATGCAATTTTTCTCGTGTCCCACAGTAATTTATTTTCTTGATACTTTTCAATGAAAGCTGGAAACAAATACCTCTTTTCAATGTATTTTTCAGTAGCCAATTTAAAATTACATTTTGTGAAGGGAATAGATAACATACTGACTCGGACTAGAAGAAATATAAACTATGCTTGGTGTCTTACGTTACCTTTTATTCCCCCTTCTCATTCCAGTTGAATAGATGCTCTCGTGTAATCTGGAGACATTCTTCATATGAAAGGAGTAAATGTTTATTAGGAAAATTGTATTCTTGGTCACTGGAACTCATTTCCTTTTTGCATTGTTAGGTTGTATATAGGCCTCTGTGTATGTAACATCAATAAACACACATAAACAGATCGTTGTTGTTAACTGCTGTCAAATTGACTTTGACCTAAAGTGTTCTTATGAATAAGACACTTCCAAATCACTCTGTCAACATTCCTACTCAGGTCTGGTACATCCAGGGCTGTGGCTTCCTTGATCAATCAATCTGAAATGTGGTTCCCTCTTTCCTATTACCCTTCTATATTACTAAATATTACTGCCTTTTCTAGTGAGTTTCAGTTTAGGCATCTTAGAGAGTTCAGACATGGACCCTTTACAACAGTGGTTCTCAACTTATTTATTTTGTTTAACTTGTATACCGCTACTCCCAGTTTGGCTCGGAGCGGTTTACAGAAGCAGATTAAAACAATACAATTAGCTTTAAAAATAACAATATACAAAACAATAGCTGGCGAGAACTTGACCGCGATAATGAAAATCTGGTCCACTTTTGGTACTAATATTGGAGAGTGGGCCCTGGTCAAGTGGGCCCTGGTCAAAAAAAGGTTGGGAACCACTACTTTACAGTATGGCACTTTCCTATTCTTGATCACGTTTATCTTTCTGCCACTCCCTCGCCTTTGAGAGAGCCAGAGAATATCCTGAATTATTTGGAACACAATGGGTAGTTGAAGGAATTAGGAATCTCCTAATTTTTGGTGTCGGCACTGTTAATGGAGAAGCATCAGTTGATCCGCTTTTTCCTCTCCAATTTGTATGGTGTTAACTTTTACAGACTCTGTGTGCTTGAGACGGAAATTTTAATCTTTCTCGCCAAACACTTCTTTCTCATTATTTTCCCTAATCATTGTCAGTAATAGTAATCTTCATGATCTAATTCATAGCTCTCTTTGTTTCCCACTTCCTTTGCTCCCAGTACTCAGTTGATTGCCAAATGCATATTCCTTCCCCTTCTGTATTATCAAAAAAATCTACTTGTTCATCTTTACAGCTTTATCTGAAACTTCGATCACTTCCTAGAAATGTTTTACCATAGCTCATTTCCTTCTTTGCTGTACCTGGAGAGGGGGAGATTTGGCTTGATGAATCATCAAGGGAATATTAAAAAGAACAATGAAGTGACTATATTTCCTAGGTTCTAGGTCAGTTAACAGACAGTATTGTCTGTGCTCTTGTCTTCATTAATAGTCACTCGTGGATGAATATGATGATCTTCCATAGGTAAGATCTTGGCAGTGGTTCTGTAAATGACAGTTGAAGACCTATTCTGGATCTGCATGGACTTTCACAATGAGGACATCGATTTCCAGGTGGAAGGTGGTCCTCTTGGCTCTTTTCTTTCTTTTGTCCTCTATTTGTGCCTCCTCAAAATCCATAGCACCATTGGTAACAGCTGACCTCCAGATCGTCGAATACACTATGCTTCATTTGAAAAAAAAATGCTGTTCTCACAGAGCTCAGAAGGTGTTGTATTTTGGCATTGATGTCAACTTTTGAGGAGAGATGGTTGTCAAGGTAGGAGGAATGTTCAGCAATGCCTGTTAATTCTTACATGTTTCTTACATGTATGTCCTTGGCCTCTGCTATACATTTTACCTATTTTGCTCTCATTTGTTACTTGTCATTTCATTTAATCACATATAATTTCCTTTGGTTTCCTAATTATTGATTTGCTCAAAATTGCTTGCCCATCCCCCAGAGTAAGAGCCAACTAGATTGAAAAATACATTATCTATCTACTGATTGAGAATTGTATTGCTGAATAAGAATGATGATAATGTTTCAACTACTAGGATTCAGACAGTATTCTGTACCCAAACTGGACATTTTAAAACTATGTAAATTGGCACAGTTAGTTTATAGGATCTAATTGGTGAGGCTGAGGCAGAAAGAAGATTCTTATATACCCAATATGTAGCTACTCTCACTTGTAGTACTTACTAATTTGTCTTTAGAAAGCAGGTGTACACTTAAAAGGAAAATAAAACTGCACTGTAACTTTGTGTACCTACAGTTGATCAATGTATGTAAAATAAGTCTCTTCAGATACCGGCACTCTTTTCAGTGGAACTCTTGGATAACAGAATTACTTTTCAAACTATTGAGATAGCATCCAGTTGCTGACAGCTTAAGAAACTGACTTAGATTCTGGCACAACATTTTCATATACACGACAATATAAGATTGTTTAAAAGTACCTATGAGAGCATTAATAAAGCAGTAGCTGAAATTTTGAATGATTATTTGGAATGGAAATATTTGCTGGGATTGAAAATTTTGACTGTAACAAATGTACTAAGCTTGTATAATAAAGTGGTCTGATTGAAAGGCTTGCAGAAGGGAAGAAAAACACAGATAATTATTAATGTTCTTGTTTGAATAGTGGTAACACCCTCTGACGGCTGATTTGATTGCAGTTTATTGTGTCATTTTGTTAAATTATTCCTCTGAAGCATTATACATCAGATATATTCTTCATAAACAAGTCTTTGAAATGTCACTTTGCCAATGTTTTTAAAAAGTCATTCACCAGTGAATAAAACGTAGGAATATATGAAAATTCACCAGCTTCTCTTTTTTGCATATTTTTGTTTCTTCCAGTCTTTAACATTTCCAATCTAGGAGATCATCAGATTAATACTTCAAGAAAATGTTACAGTTACTTTTAAGAAAAAAGTCTTGTTTTTCTTTTTTCAGCTTCAAGAATTATAGTGTGTGCTTTTCTTTTTTTTAACTGATTAAATGATAAACTGGTAAACTGAATTGGTGTAATGTCATTGAGTGTGCTTGCCAACATAATGACATGTAACCAGCATAGTGAAACTCATGGCAACCATGGGGCTGTCCCAAATGGTATCTGACCCTAGCCACAGAGCTAGGCTACAGCCTTATAGTGCCTAGCTTATAACAGAATGTTTGCACCAGTGATCATGAGTAAACTTGGTGTTTAGCATTTTAGTATGTTATCAGATATTATGTAAAGTTGTTAACTGCACCACTTACGTCCTGCAAATGGTAATAAGCAGTTACTTAATAATTTCCTCTTGCATTTGTGTGTTGTAAATGATAGATGTCTCATCATCTTTATAAAAGATCACATGCAGTTTGATACATGTAATGAACTCAAGTTTTAGGGTAACATTGGATTATTTGTTCCAACAACAATCTAAAGTAAATGCATTTAAGTAATGGAACCTACCATGAGTATTGTCTTATTTGTATAGTAGATTCATCCTAGCCAGGACACCAGCTAGATTTAGACTACCAGAAATTTGCTATAGCATGATTTGAATTTCCTATAATGTAATAACATATTGAGGGTTACAATCTTATCATATTATTGATTGAATACTCTGACTAGACTCCTTCTCAGTTCATTTCTGCTAGCTGACAGATGTTTAATAGGAAATGTAATATTTTGTGGACTAAACACTGATCTTTGCTTTGTTGGAACAGGATAAGAAATGGATTCTCAGTCATGAAGATGTTACACTGGGAGAATTACTGGGCAAAGTAAGTGATCTTCTGTAAATGGGAAGGGAAGGAATCACTGTATTCTTGAATATTAAACATAGTTATGACAGAACTGAAGTGATCTCTGCCATCCCATTGTGTAGCATTTATATAGAAAAACACAAAAAAGATATTTTTTAAAAATGTTATAAGCGGCAAGATCCAGCTGAAAATTTGAATTTTGATATGACCTGTATATAAGTCAATGGTCACTCTGAAGGGAAGGCACCAAAACCGCTTCAGGCGACCAGTTGCTCTTCGGCACTACCACTGGCCACTGCTATCATTTTACCATTTAGGCATTCAAATATGCCAGGCATGGCACATGGCAGGAGGGCTCAGTGCTTCCTTTAGGTTCTCCTGGGGTAGACTAACCTCTTCCCTTTTGCCACTCTGCTCTGAGAAGAGTATGGTACAGTACTCACATCGACCTATGGATAAGTCAACCCAGGTGTTTTGGATTGATTTTTTTAATTAAAATTTCTAGACACATACATGAGTATATAGGGTAAGTATTGGTTAAGACACATTGATTTTGATTAGAATTCTAAGCATTTGCATATTCTAAATAACTGGAACAAATTACTACCTTAGTTTGGTAGAATTGTGATTTAAGACTATAACCAGTGAAGATACTATTCATTAGTACACTTGACAGTTAATATTGCTAAAACATATAAAAGTAATTAACTTTCCAACTTCCTGTGAATTAATAGTAGTGTTGCTACTCTCCACCCAGATTTTCTCTCCTGGTTCATTTAATTTATTTATGAACCCTGTGTGTGTCTCTGTGTGTGTTTGCGTGTGTGCAGGCACATGCTCACACATCGTCAGGCTATCTGTCAGCAGCAACCTCATGAATTTCATAGGGCTTTCTTAGTTAAGAAATACTCAGAGATGATTTGCTAGTTCCTTTCTTTGAAATATTTGTAATTCATTGGCAGTCTCTCATCCAAGCACTAACCAGATCTGATCTTGTTTAGATTCCAAGACCAGACAGGATCTGATAGTCTTCTCTTAAGTGGCCTGATGGCTAGGGTGGCTTACAGAAGAATACTTCTAACACGATGAAATAGTTTTATGAAATGTATATTAATATTTGGTAGATACTGCAAAACTAGGCATGATATAATTGTAACATGAGATTTACATAAACAATTTATGCATTTTTTCTCTCTCTCTCATGGAGGTGGGAATGTTTTAAGTGGAGTAAAGAGCATTTAACCCTTCATCTGACCTTCCTTGCCTTGGTGTTCGATATTGCTTCAAGGCCCAGTATTGGAAGTAGACTGGAAAAGTGGGTAGAGTGAAGGGAAAGTGACAGGGCAAGGGAAAGGAAAGATTTTATTTCTCTCATCTCTGTGAAAAAGACATGTGACTGCTCTGTCACATGTTGTTGCATCTTAAAATTATCCAGGATATTAAATGAATACTATGGTGTGATCTAGATGTCAACTAAAATATCTAGTTGAAGCAGAGGCAGGACAGTGAAATGTGGAGTTTAGTATTTTTCACCTTGTCACATTTCTTTAGCTGTAACATTCAGAGAGGAGGGATCAGTGAGGTAAGTCTTGACACAATGACTTCCAAGTCATGCACTTGATTTAACTACTTATTACAGGGAGACATGTGGAAGAGATATGTCTTGGGAATGACTGTGTAGTTGGATCACACGTGCTTTTGGATTCAGAAGATGATCCAGGAATTGAACATTCCATCACTTTTACTATGGCTGTTTGTATTTTAATGAGTGTGGTGGTGTTCTTTACAATGGAGAAAGAATGGTTGTTTTTAAAAGCTATTACAGTAAACACATTGCTTCTGGTAAATTTCCAAGCACTTCTTTCAGTTCACTCTTACCTCCCTCTACAAGGTGATAAAAAAAGAACCATTAACCCCTAATCAAGTAATGAAATGATTAGTAATTGCATATTTTGCACATTTGTTCCAAAGATTCATCAAATCTGAAGTCCAAATCTGAAGATTCTTTCACAGAAATGTATGAATATTTGTTCTGATTCCACCTTTACCTATACCACAACCACAGCTGAAGAGGGTGTGTTCCTGAGACAACAATATAAATGAATCTAAAGAGTCGCAATTTCATATCACATCTCATTAATTAACACTGTTCATGTGGCATGAAACAGATTACAAAACACACAATAAAATAGTTATGATAATCCGAGAATCACAAACATGTTAGAATAGAAGGCATGTTATGGTTCAAAAATTAAAAATCCAAAAATTAGGCTATAGAAATGAGCAGTGGTTAAGAAACCGGGATCTTGAATTGGTTTATAAGAACTGTAAAGTTTCAAAGACAAATAGTTTCGTAGTTTTGCTCTGCAATGTGTCTCTCACCTTGACACTCGTAATAGTAATTGAATTAAAATATATCTGCTAAGGGCAATAATTCCAGACAAAATTGCCGCTGTTTTTGTTTGCAACATAAAAGCATGCACTTCATATTTGCCACTGCATGAAACCATAAGTGCTCCAAAGGAAGCACAACTTATCTTTTCTTCAAAGAGAAAAATATCAGATGAAAGGTTGTTACTGCTCAATCCTCATAGTTTTGTCTGAGGATGTAGAAAAGCAGCATGGATAAACCAGATTAAAATGAATGCTAGAGTATAAGATTATGTGGCATGTTATATAAAGTAACTAAATCTGGAGTGAGTAAAAAATTTATCTTGACCTAAGTTTATCAGATTTATTTCCCCTAATGTCCCAATTTGTTCACAGTTATAACACTATATAACTTGTTTCAGGAACTGTGGACAGATATGCATTTTCTTACTGCGTCTCTTGTTTTCATTTTTTTACATCAGACATGGGAAATCATAATTTGTGGAGAAGTGGTGGATAGGAGGAAGGTGTTTAATCTTTCTCCTGGCCTTCATTTTCTCTGCAACTTCCCCCCTACTCTTGGCCAGTATTTAATTCCAGTCCTTGACAATGTGATCTAGCGAAGGGGGAAGCTTAAGAAATGTTATGCTCATTGTTTCTCCACTGTAAAACTAGGCGGGAGGCTTCAGTGTGTAACAGAGAAATAGTGGATTGATTCATCACTTGTAAGTTTAGCCTTGTTGTGATTTCAGATCTTTGTTTCCACCATAGAGTGTAAAAGTATGAAATTGAGCCAAGTGCATGTTGTTCTACCCTTCAGAAAGATTAAGTAGAACTCTGTGTTGTACAGAAGAGAGTTAATGGAAGCAATACTGTATGTTACCTCTAAAGATATATGCTAGCATTTGTATATTTGGCTAAATACTGCCCAATTGAGTGACTGTTGTTGTTGTTGTTCATTCGTTCAGTCGTCTCCGACTCTTCGTGACCTCATGGACCAGCCCACGCCAGAGCTCCCTGTCGGCCGTCACCACCCCCAGCTCCTTCAAGGTCAGTCCAGTCACTTCAAGGATGCCATCCATCCATCTTGCCCTTGGTCGGCCCCTCTTCCTTTTGCCTTCCACTTTCCCCAGCATAATTGTCTTCTCTAGGCTTTGCTGTCTCCTCATGATGTGGCCAAAGTACTTCAACTTTGTCTCTAGTATCCTTCCCTCCAATGAGCAGTCAGGCTTTATTTCCTGGAGATGGACTGGTTGGATCTTCTCGCAGTCCAAGGCACTCTCAGAACTTTCCTCCAACACCACCGTTCAAAAGCATCTATCTTCCTTCACTCAGCCTTCCCTAAGGTCCAGCTCTCACATCCGTAGGTTACTACAAGGAAAAAATCAAAAGAGAAAAACAGAAGTAGGAAGAGAAAAAAGAGATTAAAGAAATGAAATAAAGTAAAAAATAAAATAAAAATTATATCACATCTGTAGGTTACTATGGGGAATACCATTGCTTTGACTATGCAGATCTTCATTGCCAGTGTGATGTCTCTATCTTCACTATTTTATCGAGATTGGTCATTGCTCTCCTCCCAAGAAGTAAGCGTCTCCTGATTTCCTGGCTGCAGTCTGCATCTGCAGTAATCTTTGCACCTAGAAATACAAAGTCTGTCACGGCCTCCACATTTTCTCCCTCTATTTTCCAGTTGTCAATCATTCTTGTTGCCATAATCTTGGTTTTTTTTATTTTAGCTGCAACCCAGCTTTTGCGCTTTCTTCTTTCACCTTGATTAGAAGGCTCCTCAGCTCCTCCTCGCTTTCGGCCATCAGAGTGGTGTCATCTGCATATCTGAGGTTGTTAATGTTTCTTCCAGCAATTTTCACCCCAGCTTTGCATTCATCAAGCCCCGCACATCGCATGATGTGTTCTACATACAAGTTAAAAAGGTTGGGTGAGAGGATGCAGCCTTGCCGTACGCCTTTCCCAATCTGGAACCAGTCTGTTGTTCCGTGGTCAGTTCTGACTGTTGCTACTTGGTCCTTGTACAGATTCCTCAGGAGAGAGACAAGGTGGCTTGGGATGCCCATCCCACCAAGAACTTGCCACAATTTATTAGGATCCACACAGTCAAAGGCTTTAGAATAGTCAATGAAGCAGAAGTAGATGTTTTTCTGAAACTCCCTGCCTTTCTCCATTATCCAGCGGATATTGGCAATCTGGTCTCTCGTTCCTCTGCCTTTTCTAAACCCAGCTTGAACATCTGGCAACTCTCGCTCCATGTATTGCTGGCGTCTTCCTTGCAGGATCTTGAGCATTACCTTACTGGCATGAGAAATAAGGGCCACTGTACGGAAGTTTGAGCAGTCTTTCGCATTTCCCTTTTTTGGTATGGGGATATAAGTTGATTTTTTCCAGTCTGATGGCCATTCTTGTGTTTTCCATATTTGCTGGCATGGCATGCATCACCTTGACAGCATCATCTTTTAAGATTTTAAACAGTTCAGCTGGGATCCCGTCATCTCCTGCTGCCTTGTTGTTAGCAACGCTTCTTAAGGCCCATTCAACCTCACTCCTCAGGATGTCTGGTTCTAATTCATTCACCACACCGTCAAAACTATCCTCAATATTATTATCCTTCCTATACAGATCTTCTGTATAGT